GTAGTCGCAGCAGCAGAACGCGTCGACGCAGTACGAAGCCGACGGGGTCGTGACGATCGCGATAGGGGATACAAACCGATCACCGACACTCGATCGAGGGACGGACCATCGCCCATGGAGATTGGTGCAGTTAAAAGTGACGGCTCACAGAAAACGGGTTTTAGGGGGAACTGTCACTACTGCAAAAAGCCGGGACACATGAAGCGGGACTGCCCACAGCTTAAGGAGCGGCAGCAGGGAAACGGAAACCACCAGTAGATAGCGGGTCGCTAGCTGGTGTGGACGCTTCCGAACCCGCCACGTCTACCAACGTAGAGGAGACGGCCTTAGAGCAGTCATCTACGCCGAACGAGGTAGACACTGTTGATCGTCCAGTCGTGCTTCTAGGGAAGCTTCGCGGTGTTCCAATCAAGATTCTCATCGATAGCGGAGCTAGCCACTCGTTCGTTTCATCTTCATTAGTTAGTCGTCTCCATCTCGAGGCAGATTCGGCAGTCAACTTCAAGGACGCTCGCATGGTAGATGGGACACCACTTCACATAGGACCAGTCATTCGCAAGTTGCGCGTAGTGCTAGGACCAATCACGGTTAGGCGTGATTTCGATTCTGCGACGCTGGACGGTTACGACTTCATCTTCGGTAGGGATTGGCTACGGACGGTTAACACTCAGTTCGATTGGGCTCAGGGAAGCTGCAGCGTCAAGGTAGATGGCGAGTTCCGGGAGCTGCCACAGTGGAGCGATGCGGCCACATCCTCCACAGCTATCATTAATGCTGTTCGTGTGCGACAGTTAGTGAAGCATGCAGCGCGGATCTTTGCGGTTTTCCTTGAGGAGGTGGAAGCTGAGGAGGGGAAAGGAGGGAGTGCAATAGTTGGTGAGAAGGCGACTCTTCCTGCTGAGGTGAGTGCACTGTTAGCAGAGTTCGCAGACGTCTTCCCCGACGAGTTGCCCCCAGGGTTGCCTCCCAGCCGAGCAGTAGACCATCGGATAGAGTTGGAGCCGGGAAGCAGACCAGTAGCGAAGCCGCAGTGGAGGTTGAGTCCAGCGGAGACAGAGGAGATGACGCAACAGGTTAGGCACTTTATCGCGCAGGGTTTCATACAGCCATCTAGATCACCTTGGGCAACACCGATCCTTTTCGCGCCTAAGAAAGACGGAGGCTTACGGATGTGCATAGATTACCGCGCACTGAACGCCGCCACCGTCAAGAATAGATTTCCAGTGCCGAGAGTAGAGGATCTTCTCGATGCAGTGCAGGGCGCTAGAGTCTCCTCAAAGATCGACCTTCGTTCGGGTTACCATCAGATTCGTGTAGTTCCAGAGGACCAGCACAAGACGGCGTTTCGTACGAAGCAGGGGTTGTACAAGTTTAGAGTTCTACCGTTCGGTTTGACCAACGCCCCAGCGACGTTTCAGACGCTCATGAACACCGTCCTTTCAGAGTTCCTAGGTTCGTTCGTTGTCGTTTACCTAGACGACATCCTGATCTTCTCCAAGTCGAAAGAGGAGCACGTGCAGCACTTGCAGAGGGTCTTTGAGGTCTTGCGGAGGGAGAAGCTGTACGCGAAGCAGTCAAAGTGCGAGTTCTTTCTTCCTGAGGTCGAGTTCCTAGGACACGTCGTATCCGCTAGTGGCATTAGGACCGACCCGAAGAAGATCGCAGCAGTACAAGATTGGGTAGCACCGACCTCAGTCAAGGAGTTGCAGAGCTTCCTCGGTTTCGCGAACTACTACCGTCGTTTCGTTCAGGGTTACGCAACGATCGCTAGTCCACTCACCGACCTACTTCGGAAGGGCGTGGAGTACGTTTGGGGTCCAGCGCAGCAGCAGGCGTTCGAGCAGATGAAGCAGTCGCTCACGCCTTCACCGACACTGTCGTACCCTGATCCCACTCGCCCATACGTTGTAGTGACCGATGCTTCAGATCAGGCCATAGGAGCAGTGCTTCTTCAGGACCAGGGACGCGGGTTGCAGCCGATCGCGTACGAGTCGCGTAAGCTTAGGGGAGCGGAGTTGAACTATCCCATACACGACAAGGAGGCGCTCGCGATCATCCATGCGTATAAGGTGTGGAGGTGCTACCTAGAGGGGGCAGATAGTGTTATACGCACGGACCATTGCTCGCTTCGCTTCCTCAAGTCGCAGCCGCAGCTGAGTCGTCGCCAGGCTAGATGGATGGAGTTTATGGAGGGGAGTTTCCACTACAGGATAGAGTATAAGCCAGGCGTGCGCAACCCAGCAGATCCGCTCACTCGCCCTAGTTGCCAGCTCGCTAGTCTCACAGTCACTGCCGGCCACCCACTTCCCACAGCACTCTTCGAGCACGGATACACAGCAGATCCCGACTTCACACCGCAGCCGCCCGCAGGAGCAGAGGTGCAGGGTAGTGTCTACATATGGAAGGGTACCACACGGATTTGGGTTCCAGCCTACCGCCCTCTTCGACAGCTCCTTCTCTCAGAGGCGCACGACGTAGTTAGTGCAGGTCACTTCGGAGCAGATAAGACGGCTAAGACGCTTAGTCGCACGTACTACTGGCCAGGGCTTGCAGCAGACGTAGAGGATTACATTCGCTCGTGCGACACATGTCAGCGTACGAAGTCCCCTCGCCAGCGCAAGGCAAGAATTTTGCAGCCGATTCCACCACCCGACCGCCCTTGGCAGGTAGTTACGATGGACTTCATCATGGCTTTACCGCGCACAGTTAGGGGTCACGACGCCATCTTCGTGGTAGTGGATAAGTTTTCTCGAGCAGCGCACTTCATCCCCACGCACGGCAAGGTCACAGCAGAGGAAGCCGCGACGCTGTTCGTAGATAACGTAGTCCGACTGCACGGGGTTCCAGATTCCATCATCTCAGACCGCGACCCTCGTTTCACTTCGAAGTTCTGGAAGCAGCTTTTCGCACTGTTTGGGACTCGCCTAGCCATGTCGTCTGCGTACCATCCAGAGACAGACGGACAGACCGAGCGTGTGAACCAGACCTTGGAGCAGATTCTTCGCAGCATCACGATGCACGACGCAGCCGCATGGGACAAGAAGCTGAGCATGGCAGAGTTCGCATACAACAACACGCACCACTCGTCCACAAGCATGTCACCGTTCTTTGCACTTTACGGTCAGCACCCCAATGTCCCCACTCGTGTCGATCTCACACCCACTGTCCCTCGTGCGGACAACTTCCACCAGCATCTCACCTTCATTCATGATCACGTGAGGAAGCACCTTGAGCTCGCAAATGCACGCATGGCACACACCACCAACCGCAGTCGTCGTGAGGTGTCGTTTGCAGTCGGTGACCGTGTTCTCTTGGATAGCCGCAACCTCCGACTGCCACAGGACAGCAAGCTTCGTCCACGTTTCATTGGTCCATTCGTCATTGAGCGCACACTTGGTCCAGTCGCATACCGCCTCCGCCTTCCCGCTCATTTCCGCATGCACCCGTCATTCCACATGTCGCTTCTTCGTCCTTACACCGATCCCAACGCCACCTTCTCGGGCCGTGACCGCAATCCACTGCCGGTAGCTGTTGACACCGACGAGCCCGACTACCAGATCCAGCGCATCCTCAGGCACCGACGCCGTCTCCAGGGGGGTGTCTCTTTCATCGACTTATTGGTTAGTTGGCGTGGTTACGATGCAGCCGACGACAGCTGGGTTCCTTCGTCCTCGCTGTCTCCCGACAACGCTTGCCTTCAAGCGTACCTTCAGTCTGCAGGCGCCGCGGACGTCGCCTCCTTGGGAGGGGGGTAGTGTTACAGGGGGTTTTACTGTTCGCTTTGCACAGTAACTCCCAACCCCATCCTTATCCTTATCTTCTTGGATTTCCTAGTGCCATGTGGCACTCTACTTTTCTTGCTTCAACTTTCTAGTCCCACGAAGTACTTTCCATCATTCGATCTTGCATGCTATATCAACCTTGCTTGTATTCCCCAATATCAACCAATTCTCATTCAACTCTTCAATTACTTAGTTACTTCTTCGCCTATTTCGCCAACACTCTCTTTCGCCAAAGTCTCCCGCCGCGTTTATCCTCGACTTAGTCGACCCCGCTAATCTTTAGCGGATTTAGGCCAAGGGGCCTAACAAACAGACACTTCCAAAATGCCTTGACAGCAAATTCGCCCTGACACGGTAGTTTCGTGCTGTCAGAGCACAGCAAATTCGCCCAATCACAGTTTTGCGCTGTCAGAGAGCAGAAACTTTGCCCAATCACGGCGGAATTACCCTGACACAAGAGCAGATTCGCCCTTACACGAGATTCGCCCTGTCAGACCCTGTTGTGAGTGCTACTTTATTATGTTAGTATAAAATACTTAGCTCACAAAATAGTAGCCGAAACAGGCTTAGCCTAAAACTACCCTGCTCAAATCAGGCTATAGGTTGATTTACCCTGCTGCAAACAGGGTACGAAAAATTTTACCCTAGGGGTCGGGCTAAGGAGGGGCTGGAACCCTGATTTGTAAGGGTAGGCCTAAACCAATTTTGGGCCCTGATTGCATTTCACGTGCATCGCCAGGGCGTGAATGGGAATGCAAACAATATTTTTTTTGCGCGTTGATCTTTTGTAGTTTTTTCACGTGTGGCATTACTCGATTGACCCTAGAAACACGAACTAAGCCCATGGTAAGCCTCTCTAATATATTTACCCTCGTTTTAGACATACCGTATTTAGGACACGTAGATTCTGAGTGAGAGAATTTAACTTCATTTGTGAAACCCGCATACTCGTAACGAAATTGACTTTAGTCTTTGCCTGCATCGCGCACTCTTCTCCACTTACGAGATTGCTGCATCCCAGCGCGCTCTCTCGCTACTGCTTGCCGCGACCCGCCTTCGATTTCTGCCCGTCGACCTACATCACGCACAGTCGCTGGCCCCACCCGCACAGCACACTTGGCACTCGTGGGTGCGTGTCATCCGAATTTATCATGCGCTCTTTGAGGCGCCTCAAAAATCACACTTGGCACTCGTGGGTGCGTGTCATCCGAATTTATCATGCGCTCTCGCTCACACGCCACATACCTCGGTGCAATCGGTATCTCTGCTATTCACTGCTCACATACTCTCTTTCCCCCCACTTGCCGCCCTCCTTCCCCCTACTTACCGCCCTCCTTCCCCCCACTTGCCGCCCTCCTTTCGCCCACTTACCGCCCTCCTTCCCCACACGTACCGCCCTCCTTCCCCACATTTACCGCCCTCCTTCCGCCCATTTACCCTCCTCATTCGCTCCTCTTACCTTCCTTCAGCCCTCGAATTACCGCCCTGACTCCCCTTTTTTCCTCCTTCCCCCAACTTACCCCCCACATTTCCCCGACTTACCTCCCTCCTCCCACCCCCTGGCCATCCCCCGTCGTTCTCCCCACTTACCTCCCATCATCCAACCTCAATTTACCCTACGTATTTCCCTGTCCCCATATCACCCTGCCTCCTATCTCCTACGCTTCTACTCCCCTGCTACCATGTCTCTCTGCCTCCGTATCTGCCGCCGTGCAGGGGAGGGGAAACCAGGACGAAGTGACTTCTGAGTGCAGGTAGGCAGGCACTATCGACTCAATACTCACCTCTGCCGACCTATCTGCCGCTGTGCAGGGAAAGCCAGGGTGGCGGAGAGATTCAACCAACTCTGCGCTGGGGCAATTGAAAGCAGGCGGGAAAGCAGGAGTGTGGGCGGCAGGAGGGGCGTGTGGTCGTCACGAGAGGAGTGCGGGCGGCAGGGGAGGCGTGTGGGCGGCGCAAGAGGAGTGTGGGCGGCACGAGAGGCGTGTGGGCGGCACGAGAGGCGTGTGGCGTGTGGGCGGCAGGAGGGGCGTGTGGTCGTCACAAGAGGCGTGTGGGCGGCAGGGGAGGCGTGTGCGCAGCACGAGAGAGTGGTGTGTGGGCGGCACGAGAGAGAAGCGTGTGGGCGGCACGAGAGGCGTGTGGGCGGCACAAGAGGCGTGTGGGCGGCACAAGAGGCGTGTGGGTGGCACAAGAGGCATGTGGGCGGCACAAGAGGCTTGTGGGCGGCACAAGAGGCGTGTGGGCGGCACAACAGGCGTGTGGGCGGCACAAGAGGCGTGTGGGCGGCACAAGAGGCGTGTGGGCGGCACAAGAGGCGTGTGGGCGGCACAAGAGGCGTGTGGGCGGCATGAGGCGGCGGCCGGGGGTGGCGGGGCTGCAGACGGCAGCAGCAGTGAGGGGGCAGTACCGGTCGCTGGGGGAGGATGTGGCCAAGCAGCGCCAGGAGTCCCTGCGGCAGCAGCTGGAGACATTCCGCGGGTTTCTCATGGAGTTTGCTCAGAAGCACAAGGTGGGTGATTTGTGGGGGTGCCATGTGCTGCCTGCCCTGAGTGGCGGGGCTGCAGACGGCATCAGCAGTGAGGGGGCAGTACCGGTCGCTGGAAGAAGAGAACAAACTACTGTACAAGATACGGGACAAAAAGTTGCAAGTCGTGCCGTGAAAACCCACTTTCGCTGCCAGCTGGCTCCTTCCAAGGACGAACGAACCACCATCTTCATTAGCTTTTTCTCCTGAGGGCCAAGTGGCCACCTCGCATGCACAGTTGAAGACTGATATTCATAATGTGCACCAGCTGTATCGGTGTATATTTCAATTACCAAAATAAAAAAACTCAGCTCTGCCCTCTCGCCCCTTCATCGCCCTTCCCCTCCTGTCAGAGCGATTTCCGCAGCAACCCGGCGTTCATGGCGCAGTTCCACGCCATGTGTGCGCAGTGCGGGGTGGACCCCCTGGCCTCGTTCCCCTCTCCCCATGCTCCCCTTGCTCCCCATCCTCCCCTCTTGCAGAGCGACATACGCAGCAACCCGGCGTTCAGGGCGCAGTTCCATGCCATGTGTGCGCAGTGTGGGGTGGACCCCCTGGCCTCCAACAAGGGCTTTTGGAACGAGCTGCTGGGCTTCGGTGACTTCTACTACGAGCTCGGTGAGGCGCTTCCTGAATTGACTCAAACCCCCCCTCGACTCCAACAAAGACTACAACCCTCAAGATTCTCGAGAACAAGGGCAAGAACAAGGGCTCCGACAAGGTGAGGCGATTCTCGAGTCGAACAAGTGCTTCAACAAATATCAAATATCCTCCTGGCGTCCAACAAGTGCTTCTGCAACCCTCCTCACTGCTGGGCTTCGGAGACTTCTACTACGAGCTCGGTGCGACCCTCCCTCCTCACTGCTCCTCACTCCGCTTGACTCATGCAAACTGTGTGCCGTGCATTCGTGGCATGCCATGTTATGCCAAGCCATGCCATGCCATGCCATGCAATCCCATGCCATGTCATGTCATATCATATTAAGCCATGGTTCTTTCTATCCCATGGCGTGTGCCCCTCCCCCTTCTCCTCCCCCTTCCCCTTCCCATTCCCCTTTCTATTCCCCCTCCCCCCATTCCCCTCCCCCTCCCCCCTCCAGGCGTGCAGCTGATAGAGACGTGCATGGCAACGAGGGCGGACAACGGCGGGATGATCAATCTGGAGGAGCTGCGGCGCCTCGTGGCGGGCAAGCGCCGCATGCCGCTGGACGCGCTCTCACATGACGACTGCATGCGCGCGCTCGCCACCATCAAGGTGTGCGTGTGTGCGTGTGTGTGTGTGTGTGTGTGTGCGTGCGTGCGTGCGTGCGTGCGTGTGTGTGTGTGTGTGTGTGTGTGTGTGTGTGACGCCTTTTGAGGCGTCTCAATACTCGTCTACTTACATGCGGATTCCATATCAATAGAGCGACGCATGCCTCTCAACGCGCTCTCACATGACGACTGCATGCGCGCCCTTGCCACCATCAAGGTGAATATATCGTGCCCTGCATGTGCGCTCTCGCCCTCGCCACCATCAAGGTGTGTTTGTGACGCCTTTTGAGACGTCTCAAAAGAGGTCTACTTACATGCGGATTCTATATCGATAGAGCAGTGCATGCCTCACATGACGCGCTCTCTCATGACGACTGCATGCGCTTGCTCGCCACCATCAAGGTGTGACAGGAAATCAACACGCCTCGAGTGGATGTGAAATCTGCACCACCCTTGTCGTCACGTGCCTGCCTTTCACCTTCAAAGGATTGCTGAAGTGTGGCGCCACTCTCTTGCCTCCACCCCTCCCGCTGCACCACCAGCCCATGTGTTACCACCTGGCCACAATCCCGTCACCCCCCACTCTCGGAATAGCATCCAACCATTTTACTGCTTCCTTTGTCATCCTCCATCGTCGTCCCAACAAATTGCTGTCATCGGCAGTCCCTAGGAGGAGGGTTTGCGGTGGAGAAGGTGGGGGCGACACATGTGGTGCGCTCTTTGAGATGTCTCAAGAAACCTCCCTTGCCTTCCCAACAAATTGCTGTCATCGGCAGTCCCTAGGAGGAGGGTTTGCGGTGGAGAAGGTGGGGGCGACACATGTGGTGCGCTCTTTGAGATGTCTCAAGAAACCTCCCTTGCCTTCCCAACAAATTGCTGTCATCGGCAGTCCCTAGGAGGAGGGTTTGCGGTGGAGAAGGTGGGGGCGACACATGTGGTGCGCTCTTTGAGATGTCTCAAGAAACCTCCCTTGCCTTCCCAACAAATTGCTGTCATCGGCAGTCCCTAGGAGGAGGGTTTGCGGTGGAGAAGGTGGGGGCGACACATGTGGTGCGCTCTTTGAGATCTCAAGAAACCTCCCTTGCCTTCCCAACAAATTGCTGTCATCGGCAGTCCCTAGGAGGAGGGTTTGCGGTGGAGAAGGTGGGGGCGACACATGTGGTGCGCTCTTTGAGATGTCTCAAGAAACCTCCCTTGCCTTCCCAACAAATTGCTGTCATCGGCAGTCCCTAGGAGGGGGGTTTGCAGTGGAGAAGGTGGGGGCGACACACGTGGTGCGCTCGCTGCCTCGAGAGCTCAGCACCGACCAGAACGACATCCTCCGCCTCGCACAGGTGACGTGGCGCAGGTGCCGTGGCGCAGGTGACGTGGCACAGGTGACGTGGCACAAGTGACGTGGCACAGGTGACGTGGCACATGTGACGTGGTGCAGGTGACGTGGCACAGGTGACGTGGCACAGGTGACTTGGTACTGGCTAGTTGGCGTAAAATTCTAGACTCGGTTGTCTCGACTCGGATGAATCACTTGAGGTGAATAGTCTCAGGTGATGAGCTTCAGGTGCATCGGTGTGGTGAATTGACTCTGAGAAATCTCCTTGGATGAGCCTGCTGCTGCGTTTTTGCGTGGTTGGATTCTTGGCTTGTTGACTTGCAGAATGGCTGAGTTGTTTACTTGTAGAGTTTTGTACTTGGGTCATCATTGCAGTCGGTATATCGTGGGTCAGAGAATCACTCCCTTGCGTGTGTATGCCTGCCTCCTCCCCCGCCCTCCTTCCGACAGGCGCGTGGGTGTGTGAGCATCGCGGATATTCTCTCCGCCACGGCATGGCAGCACGGCCGAATCAACGATGCTCTTGACGCCCTCCTCAAGGTGCCGTGCTGCTACTGCATTCTGTGAATAACTGTAGCATTAGCTGCATCATACAAAGCGACTGTGTGAGAATGCGAGGCACTGAGGGCTGCATGTTTTGTGGTGTGAGCAACCTCTGATTCACTCACGCCTCAGATTATGCACTGTCATACCATGGTTGTGCACTGTAGCACCATGGTTGTGCACTGTAGCACCATGGTTGTGCACTGTAGCACTATGGTTGTGAATTATAGCATCATCTGCACTTGGACATGCGCTACTAGCTTCCGTTTTCTCAATTGCCTTCCTCTCCCTCTTCTTCTTTTCGTCTTCCCCTTTTTCCTCTCCCCATGCTCTCCCGATTCTCTCCCGTTTCTCTTCCCATTCTCTCCCCATTCTCTTCTCATGCTCTCCCCCCATCCAGGAGGGCATAGCCATGGTGGATGATGGGGATCCTGATGGTCAACGGCGCTACTGGTTTCCATGCTTTGACATCGCTGCACCGGCATCTCTTTAATCAACAGGGCTTGCTCTTGGCCTTCCCTGCTTGCGTGCCAACAGGGAGTGGAGGGCCCTGTACATTCGCCAAATATAGTGCATTCTGGATGTGAATGCTCCGATACGCTACCTGTAAGGTTTCCATGTGACGAGACACTTCCTAGTGTGATACATTTGATGAGACCGTAATGTGCTCGAACTTCCCGGGGTTCAAGTGTGATTTGAACCAAGGCTGATGTTTCATAACAGTTGATTGATGCCTAACAATTTGACAACATTCAGGCCACACAGGAGTTATGTTATACATTTGTAAATAATGAAAGAAAACAGTTGCTGGCTATTGCCGATACATTTGCTTCGATACAAGTATAGTGGGCGAGTGCAATGGATCAAGCTGTCACTTCTGCCTGATGCTTCGCACCCCAGTGTTGAACTTGCAGCGTGGCAGTGTCATCGTCGCAGGAGCTGCCATCGTGCAATTGGGATTGGTGAGGTCGCATCATCACCGACATTCTGGTTTCACTTTCTCGCTGGCGACGAGAATCACAAGGAGGTGATGAGGAGGCAAGCTCCAGCGGCCAATTACAGGCGAGATTCGCGTCGTTTTCGCCGTCAACTCTCTTTCTCCCGTCGCATCGACTCCCCTCGTCTAAAAGTTGTGCCGACGGGCGACTAAGCGGAAGTGTCGAAGAAACTCTCTACGTCGTGCGAGGAAAACGCCAGCCTGTGCGACCCTGGCCAGGGATGATGGGAAAGGGGGCCCTATCGTGGAGTGGTCGGGTTCATTGCTCGGGGGAGGGGGGGGGAAGGGGGTTGCTGACGATGACAAGTCATCACAAGTCTCGACTAAACGGATGATTGCAAATAGTTTTCGTTCGGTTTAGCTAGGTGTGAGTCGACTAGGGGAAAGGGGCTGGATGAAAAAGGAGGCGAGTGAAGGGAGGAGCATGTGCGTGGAATGGAAGGCGCGGCTCGACTGCCGCCGAGAAAAGTCCATGGCGAGCCAGGCGACGCGGTCGATGCGGAACCTTGGAAGCTCACACGCATAAGTATGATGCTCGCTAGCTTGCGAGCATATTCACCATTGACAGCAGCGCTAGCTCGCTTGCTCTTAGCTTTAAATTGCTTACTGACTCACTGCGAGTTGCCGACTTGGAAGAAGCGCGCACGGTCTAAACAATTCTCTCAATTTCGCTTCAATTGTTTTCGTTTTCCTACCCCCACCTCAGCTCTCACCCTCTCATTGATTAGGCTCCTAAAGCATCCTATTAGGCCGTTTTCATCCTTTGTTGACCAATCTTTTATTCTCAGTCTTAGTACCAATCTGTCTGGCTACTTGAAGGAGCATGGGTCTCTTTAGCGGGTTCGCATCGAGGTCTTCAGGCTACCATCCAGCGTCCATTCTCGAGCACGAGTTCGACTTCTCGGGCGCCATAGGCCAGGGGCAGTTCGGCACGGTCTGGCGCTGCTCGTCGCGCGCGACAAACCAGCCCTTCGCGTGCAAACAAATCCACAAGTCGCAGTTCTTGTCGCACGGCGACCAGATGCGACAGGTGTCGCGCGAAATCGAGGCGATGCAGAGGTTACAGGGCCATGCGAACGTCGTCGATCTGCACAGCGTCTACGAAAACGACGCCTTTATTTTCCTCCTCATGGAACTCTGCCCCGACGGCGACCTCTTTAAACTCATCTCCGAGCGGAACGGGCTGCCGGAGACCGAGGCGCTCTACGTTTTTAAGAGAGTCGCTCTCGCCGTGCAGCACTGCCACCGAAACGGAATCGTCCATCGCGACATCAAGCCCGAAAACGTCCTCCTCCGCGATCCGTCCCCCCCATCCGATGAGTCATCCAACGCCCATTCATCCCTGGACGGGCCAATTTGTCCGCTTCCGCACGCTCACGACGCCGGTTCTTCCGCAGCGCTCGCCTGTGGCTGCGCGCCGAGCCGCGAGTGGGAAGTGAAGCTCGCCGATTTCGGCCTCTCGAGGCGTCTCGACGAGGGGTCCCGCGTGCGAGGCCGCGTCGGAAGTTACCCGTACGAGGCTCCCGAGGTGGTCGCATCTGAACCGTACGATTGGTCTGCTGACGTGTGGAGTCTCGGCGAGTTGCTGTACACTATGCTTGCTGCCAGCTGGCCGGAATTTAAGGACGGACGCCGCGCGCTGAATGAGGACGTTGATTGGTCGAGCCCGAGTTGGCGATTGGTCAGCGACGCGGCGAAGAACCTGATTCGTCGCTTGCTGACGGTGTCGCCCTGCGACCGACCCACGATCGACGAGGTCCTGTGCGACACGTGGCTGAGCGACGAGTCGTGCGTGAATGTGCTCTGCCCCGCAGCGTGCGACGGTTTGCTTGAGCAAAACGCACAGAATTTATGCGGCGACGGGAAGGACATCGCACCGCAGTGCTTGAAGGAATTCATGGCGGTTCGCTCAAGCCCGTCGTTGTCCACGTGGCTTTCAGTCTGTCTGACGTCAGCGCCGTCACTGTCGTTGTCTCTATCCTCCTGCTCCGCTTCTTCAACCAAGCAGGTTCCGTTCTGTGAGAGCCTCAGCAGCGATAGCAGCAGCAGCAGCAGCAGCAGCCGCGGCAGTGACGGAAGTAGCAGCGAGAGCAACGGAAACACTGGCAGTGGGAAGGGGCCGCATAATGTGCGTCAAGGTTGGGGTATGGCAGCTGAATGGGGATTCGGTGCGCAAAGCAGCAGCAGCGACGGCGAGGAGCAAGTAGAGTTGAACCCACTAGCACAGGAGGAGGCGGTGAGGAGAAGAGAATGCTGCGAGCAGGGAGAAAGTACATGCCGCGAGTGCAGCGGCAGTGGTAGTGGTGGAAGGGACAGTTGCAGCACCTCTGATTGGTGGCAGAGGTCCAGGCTGGCTGCTGTGGCGGCATGGGCTGTGAGGAACGTTTGGAGAACCGCACCTGCGGTTGCGTGCTAGGTAGCGGGTGTTGCCTGTGTTCTGCATCCGCTTCGCAGTTTTGGCTCACCAGCATACCCAATAACGGTGCATCCTTCAGGGACAGAGAACACTGATCTGCTAGCAGCCTATCAGTGGAAATGCTACAACTTTTGGCCCATGGGTTTGGGGCTCTTGTGTAGCTTCAATGCATATAGCTCGGCACCTAGAGCAGACAGAGCAGCCAGTCTCAGAACTGTGCACTCTTGCAGTGGCAGTTCTGTGTCTTACTGCTGCACACCAATGTAGATTTTATGCTCAGCCATGTGTATTATAGTTGAAAACTGTAGGGTTGGATTCATCTATTTATTAGTTTGTTTTGCATTGTATCCCATTACGACCATATCTGCAGTATTCAAAATCTCGCTCTTCTCTCGCTCGCATCAAATTGCCCCTTTCTGACAACGTCTCCCTGGTGAATGAAACACCTGAGTTGCACTGGTTCGACTTTGTGAGTTTGCATGGCCAGATTAATATCCGTTTATCCGCGCTTGGCCGTGCAATCTCGAAAAACCTGCCCACTCTTACCTACATTCTCGCGTTTGCACAAACAAGTAGTGGAATGACGCTCTCACCATTGGGAAATGATCGGCTGCTCAACCCCCTCTCGGCTGTCGCACATCCCAAACGAATTCAGCACCCTCTTCAAAGCTCCCACGTCTAAGGGTGCGTTTCTATCCCGTGTCAGACATCAAGTCATGCGGCCTTAGTCTCCAATTTGTCTCTTCCGAACTTCCAATCGCCCCAAAAACGAGCCACTTCGGGTCTTCCGAACCTCCACTTCGTGTCAAACCTAATGTCTAACACGGGATAGAAACGCACCCTAAATTCGTAAATGACAGACACGCCATAGCGTCAGATGCCGCCGAAGTTACAAAGTCCCACGAAGCTTTCAGGTTCTTGCTAACCGACCGTACCCGGCGAGAAGAAAGACAAGGTTGGGGTTTTAATGGAGGAAGACACGAACCTCTGACCATCAGCATCGAGCGGTCCCGTAAAGCTAAACAAAGACACGGAGAATTACCGCGTGGAGCGGAGCACTGAGAAGTTTCTAAACCGTCTTTGCCTTCTGACGACGTGGTAGTGGATACGACCGTTGCATCCTCTGAGACAGGCGTGCTCGCCGTGATGGATTCCTAGTTCAAGCTATTAGATCTGAAAAGGCTGCTGTGGTAGATACTCATTGAATAGTTACGTGATACGGCCCGACTTTGCTATCTTTGTTGGATGCTAGTTTGTTAGTATCCTGTCGCACGACAGGGTTCTGTCTCCCGGGCCCTGAGTATGGGGCGCTACATCGGTAGTACGAGCTATGGAGTAAGGTGGTCGCGCCTCGTAGTCCTTTGCCATAAATCTTTCATGTCACACAGTTCCTAGGTCATCAGCATAGCGTACAATGGACCAGCCACCGTGATCTTCCCGCCAATCTCTGACATGCCTCGATCCTGGATCCAGGGAACATAATGACTGGTGGAATCACGAAATCAGGGCTGAGTCACTGATATTCGCACCAACAACACTTCGCGAAAGCGAAGGAACAATGGCTACATGAACGAGAGGAAACTCTGGGTACACTAGCCTTCGCACTGGTGAAGTTACATCTGACCGAAATGCCATTTTGTGATTACAAGAGTCGATTATCTCGCATGCACACATTCCCTTCCCACCGCCACACAACCCACCGACCATCATGTTTCGCCCTTTTCCTCATGACGCTCATCTTCCAGGGCACGCTCTCAGATTCCTTCTAAGAGCGTCCTGATATAACATCCTCTTTCACTCACACTTAGTTCCAGGATCTTTGGTAGCGCCACTCGGCCCATTTCCCTCTCTCGCTGAATTTCCGCGACGTCGAGCTCGCAGCTTCGGGTCAGATCAGAGCTCGCCGCGCACGATTCCCCGTCTAACTTTTGTCCCTTGCGCTGTGAATCGCGCGAGTCCCAGGTTTATCTCCCAGCTCCGGTGGTAGAGAGCACTGGGATCTCTCGTAGAGTTGGAATCTGCACGCACACGATGGCATCCGCCACGTCAGCGCTCCACCTCTCCCCCGTCTCCACCGCCGCGGATCTACGTCCCTCCCCCTCTTCCTCCGCCTTCCCCGCCTCCGCTTCCGGCGTCTCCGCCGTCTCCCCCTCCTCCCGCCCAGTCCTTCCTGCCCGCTTCCGCCGCAGCAGCCATCGCCCAGTTGCGATAGCGCCTCTATCGAAAGGGACTGTATCGAAAGCACCTCATCGCACGCGAAGATTCCGGTGCGAGGCTGCGAGCAGCGGCGACGCGACGTCGCCCTCCTCTTCGTCGTCACCGCCAGAGGCGGCACCCGCAGCGACCCCAGCGGGCGGGGCGAAAGGGCACGCGTTCATCCACGACTTCTGCTTCGGCATCACATTCGGTGAGCGCCTCGTCAATAGTGGGCAGGTGGGCTGCGGAGGCCTACCTCCCATCAACTCGCGTGTTTGAGGACAACGAGAGCCACGCGTTCATCCACGACTTCTGCTTGGGCATCACATTCGGTGAACTGAGTACCACCAGCCGCCTCACCACTCCCGCACCCCCCTGCCGCCTCAGCAACCCCACCTCTCGGCAGGCCAGCTGTCTCTCTCATGCGTCTCAGCCGTCGGCAGTGGCAGCCATCGCACGCACGCACGCACGCCTGCACACGGCAATGTGTCTCGCCCTGCCGCATTTCTCTCCAGATGTCGGATCCTCGCTTCAACTCCCCTCGCACACCGTTCCAGCCTTTCTGACCCTCCATTTCCGGGTGTCGTTGAGCAATCTCTGCTATCGTACGGGGGGGATATCGTCAATGCGTCCACAACAGTTGTGGCGGGACTGGCATGGTTTCTGCTCTGCTCACCAGGAGCGCGGACGCCCTGCCGTGACTGCCGTACTTTCATTCCACCATTCACCTCCCCTTTCCCGTTTCTCTTCCCTGCCACCACAGGAGCGGCAGCAGCGGTGGCGGGTGTGGCGTGGTTTGTGGTGACCAGGAGCGCGGACGGCCTGTCGTGGCTGCCATGCTTGCAGTCCGCCGTTCACCCTCCCCTTTCACCCCTTCTCTTCCCCCACGCGTCCCGCTCTCTCATCACTGCCAAAACAGGCGCGGCAGCAGCGGTGGCGGGCGTGGCATGGCATGGTTCCTGCTCACCAAAGCGCGCACGGCACGCCTTGGTTTTCGCACAATCTTCACACCTCCACTCTCTCTGTCCCCTTTTCTCTTACAACAGGAGCGGCAGCAGCAGTGGCGGGAGTGGCGTGGTTCCTGGTGACAAAGAGCGCGGACGCGCTGAGGCTGACAGCGCTGTTCGGCGCCACCATTGCGCTGGGCGGGGTGGGCAGCCTGAGGGCGTGGCGCAAGGGGCAGTCGAGCACACCCTACATCCTCGGGCAAGCAGGTGCGTGCAAGGGGATGCCCAACCATACACATGCACGGGAATCCACATGCGCATGCACGCTCGGGGGTTTGGGCAGCCTGAGGGCGTGGCGCAAGGGGCAGTTCAGCACACCCTACATCCTCGGGCAAGCACGAGCGTGCAGGGAAATGCAAGGGAGGAGGCGTGCGGGGAAAAGGCGTGAAAGCTGTGTGGAGGAGCCGTGAGGGGCGTGGGCAGCCTGAGTGCGTGGCGCAAAGGGCAGTGCAGCACACCCTACATCCTCGGGCAAGCAGGTGAGCCACTCAACCATACACGTGCAAGTGAATCCACATGCGCTTGCGCGGTCGGGGGGGTGAGCAGCCTGAGGGCGTGGTGCAAGGGGCAGTTCAGCACACCCTACATCCTCGGGCAAGCAGGAGCATGGCACCCATGCACATCCGTCCGTACACATGCATGTTTATGCCCACCCCCGCATATTCATGCCCACGCATACGCATGCACGTAAATACCCATCCATGCACATCTGTACACATGCATGTTAATGTGCACCCCTGCATATTCATGCCACGCATACGCATGCATGTAAATACCCGCCCATGCACATCTGTACACATGCATGTTAATGCCCACCCCTGCATATTCATGCCACGCATACGCATGCACGTAAATACCCATCCATGCACATCTGTACACATGCATGTTAATGCCCACCAATGCACTTGCCTGCCCACGCACATGCATCTCACGGAAATACCCAACCATACACTCCGCTAACCAGTGCAGACACACACATGCATACGACCACACTCTCCCTCTCCCTTGCAAATCCAACCGTCATCCCCCCTTCAACTCAACCCTCACACCACCACATAGCCCACCAACTTCCACACGTAGTGACCTCGTCTGCAACTTCCCTTTCCCCTGACCCCCATCCACACCACCCCGTGCAGTGCTCGCTGCTGTCTTGGCATACCAGGCATTCGTGCGCCTGCAAGTGGTAAGCCCTCCAATAACATCTCGAACACCAGCTTTTTAAACAGCCCCACAAACAACAATCCAAACAGCCTTTCAGCATCCCTCAGCAATTTATGTGCTAGAGTCTAGCAGCCGTTATCGCTGTTTCTTCAGTCCTCTACCTTTGAGTTTTCCACCTGTTCGTAACCTCACCTCCACTTACTGTAGTGTCTGGTTCTTCTCCCCAAGCCTCTTCGCTCCTGCATTTGCCGGCCCTGCTCCCTCTGACTGCTCCCTCTGACTGCCCCCTCTGAACTGTGCAGTCTTATCATTCCATCTGGACAGGTCTTCTTTGTGTGTATATCTGATCCGGTGTGCACGCACGTGCTTGTGTATTGTTCTGCAGACGGGAGCTATTTTCCCTTTGGGTCTTGGCGTGGCGGTCAGGTAAGCAGGGCGCAAGGGAACAGCATACATCCTTGACACGTCACGTCGTTGTCCTATCATTCGTTCAGATCGTTGCTTGCATCCTGCCCAAAATGTGGTCGCTTATGTCACTAGCAGTGCGCAGTGCATGTGTGGCGTCGCACATTCCTGCTCTCCTCCTCCCTCACAGCTTTGCCCATCGCATCTCATCACATCCCATCACACTGCCATCCGAATCCGTTCCTGATGGGGAGTCTTTCTCCCTCCAGGAAGCAAGTGCCAGTACGTGCATGCAATCAGGTACTGTGAAAGCGTTTTTGGAGGCCCACTCTAATTCAAGCCCCGGAATTTTCCTCCCTCCTCCCCGTCACCTCCCCTCCTCCCCCTCTTCCCCGTATTTTCCTTGTCTCGCCCACAGCGCTGCCATGGTGCTGTTTTATATCTATGTGATCCTGGCGGGCGGCAATCCCCCCCCTAAGAAGAAGGCAGCAACCGCTGCTGCTTAGGAATAGTGCATTTGAGGAGGCGGCACTAGCCCATGCTCCTCGAACCATGCCAAAGCCTCTTTCTCCCTGCGTTCTTTGGTTTACCACTACTCCAAGCACTAGAGTTGGCGTTAGGAGTGCTGCACTTGAGAGACATGATACATCCCAAACTTGTTCGGTGTCACCGCAAGTGGTGACACAACTGCAAAAATCCATGCATTTTGCATGCATGGAATTGACGTACACGATTAACGTAGTGAAAGATAAGATAGTACTACAAGATGGCAGGCTTGGTTGTGCAATAGTGGAAGTTGGATTCAATCATTGTGCCGAATTAGTTTTTTTAAATTGTGATTATATACGGTGGCGTAAAAATGGCAGGTGCTGGGTGTAGCTGGAACTTCGATGTACAGGTTACCCTAAATCGTGTCATACGAGAATTTATCGAGCACCTTCATCGATTTCGTCGATGTACGGGGGACAACCGACGAAACCAACCAGTTCACACCCCCGCCTACAAAGTGGTCGTGGCGAACACCGCCCAACCAACCAATCCTCCCACCACCAGCACCAACTCCCTCGCTTCCACCCCACGACACGCTTGCTCTCCCCTCACATCCACTCCCTTGTGCCGTTTACGCAACGCGTTAGCTAGCTTCCCGTCCCGTCGCGTTAGCTATCTTCCCCTCTCGCAGATAGACCGGTCCAATCCCCGGCTTCTACTCCACCACATCCCCTTCCCCCGGTCTGTATCATGTCGGAGTCGGAGCGTAGTCCGCACGTGAGAGCCCGTAAGCGTGCTTCCCGACTGATTCCGCGCGCAGTCATTGGCCATGGCGGCTCGAGCAAGTCACGAACCGCACTCGTGTCCATGTGCCACTGGAAGTCCGACCTTCCATGTCACTGGTCTAGACCTTCCATGTCCCGGACCCGGAGAAAGCAAGGCCTATAAAGTAGATGCTCAGCCTCACCACAATCATCACAACTTCCGTATTCGCTTCCGCCATTCTCCCTTCGATCGCGCATACCGACCGCGGCGCTGCTCGCAGCATCAATTCTCGACTGTGCTTCGCTCTGAAACCATCGCATCCGCGAGCAAACTCGAGTTTTGAGACGTCTCAAAAGCATCCGCGTGCAAGCTCAGCTCTTCATTGCTGCTATTTTCTTCCAAGGCTATCACTGAGATCTGAAGGAGATCAAAGAACGAAACCAGCTTCCCATGGCTGCTACTAGTACCAATGCGGGGCTCCGCGGAGCGCGCAATCTGCTTCTCCTTCCGCTCGCCTTCCTGCTGCTCCTCGCCGCCAGCGCCGCGCAGCCCGTCCTTCACGCATCCCCCTCCGCCACCGGCTCACCGCGCAGCGTCGCCCGCCGTGCCCTCGCCCGCGCGGATTCCGCAGTCTCCCCGCACAGGGTGGAGCGCCGCAAGCTCTTCAGCTGGGACGGCGTGACCGTCGATCAGATCATTGCGGGCAGCCTGGGCACGACGAGGTGACGACGAAGATCGTGGAGATATTCATGAACGCGGGGTACAACGTGATGGTCATTCAGAGCGACCACTCCGTGCAGGGCGACCCGGCGTCCGCGCAGGTGGAGGCGTGACGCAAGACGGTGAAAACGGAAGTACCGCTGTGCACCGTCTGATATCGCTGTAAACCGCAAGGACTGAAGGATTTGCATGCGGTTACCCGGTTAGCGAACTACCGCGCCGCGCCGCGCCATAGCATACCACCTATCATCCGTTCGCCGTGGCAACTCCCTGCTTTCCTCCTAGCACTTCTCCGGCACCACCGTTGTTTGCGGCTGTTCTTCCGCCTTCCGCGCTACGCGTTTTCAGGCGCCACGTTTGCCCTTTCGCCCTCCCTATGGCCTCTGCGCCTCAGGTGCGCGCGGAATTATGGACTCCGCTGCTGCCCGCTAAACCCTCATTTCCCCCTTCCGCACCTCCCCCTTCCGCGCCTCCCCTTTCCGCGCCTCCCCTTTCCGCGCCTCCCCCTTCCGCCCAACCCCCTCCGCCGCTCCCCTTCCATCTCTGGCGACGCCGCCAGCAGCGCCGCGTGCGCTCCGCGTTCTCCGCCGCGTCTGGCGCGCGGAAGCAGTGGGACGCCGCCTCGGCGGACGGGCTGCGCGCGGCGACAGCTGTCGTGAACCGATTGGTGCAGCTGAAGTGAGTCCAGGCGTCGCGGCGAAGAGTTCTTATAGCGAGTATAACCATATCGAGTACAGATAATGAGCGCTGGAGTATCTAGCATAGGTTATGGCGCTGATGTACATAGGTGCTGAACATACCGTATCTCCGGATCCATTCCCCTACACCCCTCTCCACCCCTCTCCACCCCTCTCCACTCCTCTCCATCCTCTCCTGGCTGTGCGCAGGCAGCTACCCGGCAAGGACGTGGGGGCGGTAGGGAGCATGGAGGGCATCTTGGCGAGGGCAGCAGAGAAGATCCGACGCCTCATGGTGCTGAATCCTGATGCCACTGGAACTCGTTTTAGTGTGACTCGTTGCAGTGTGAGTACCTCTTCTGTTAAGCATCGTGATACACTACAAACAACGACTTTCCCCACACCTTCCCTTCCCTTTTTCCCTCGCTCTCATCCGTCACTTCCTCCCCATCCTCCGTTTTTTTCTCCACACCTCCCGTCTTTATCTCCTTCTCTCGCCCCTCAGTCTTTCCTCTCGCACACATCCCTCTTCTCATTCTCCTCCCCCTGCTCCACCTCTCCTCCCCCTCGTCCGCCCTTCTCCTCCCCTCCTCGTACGCCCACAACCATCTCCTGCGTGATGCTATGCTCTGGATGACGCGCATGGCATGGCATGGCATGGAATGGCATGGCATGGCATGGCATGGCATGGCATGGAATGGCATGGCATGGCATGGCATGGCATGGCATGGAATGGCATGGCATGGCATGGCATGGCATGGAATGGCATGGCATGGCATGGCATGGCATGGCATGGAATGGCATGGCATGGCATGGCATGGCATGGCATGGAATGGCATGGCATGGCATGGCATGGCATGGCATGGCATGGCACTCGATGCAATGCCGCAATGGCCCATCAGGAGGAGGATATACGCACGCTGCGCCGCTGCTTGAATGACCATGTGAGTTGGCGGAGGGGGAGGGAGGGGAGGAGGGATAGACGAGAGCTCTTGAACTTGCAATACTGCTCATTGCTCCCAATTCACCACCATTTTCCATCTTCCCCCCCCCACTCACTCACTTATTTCTTACCATCCCCTTTCTCCCTGCTTCTCTGCACGCCATCTACTCTGCCCCGTCGGCTACACTTGGTGCGACATTTGAGAATTCTCAGAAGTCGCACCCATTCACTGCACGCCTGCACGCCATCTGCTCTGCTCCGCTGGCTACACTTCCCGCAACCAGCCCTTACTCTCTCTCCTCTTTTCCCCTCTCCCCTGTCCCCCTCACCCTCATCCTTCCTTCAGGCTGCAGCTGTCGACGCCCTCGGCCCTGCCCTGCTGGCCCTCTGCCCACCCCCCCACATACCACCTCCCCCGCATGCACCTGAAGCAATGGCCCTCCCCACAGCAGCACCTGAATCCACAGTTGCGCCCTTCACTTTTGCCGCATCACTGGCGGCGCCAGTGCCCGCTTCAGCAGTGTCAACACCATCAGCAGCAGCAGCAATATCACCATCGCCAGAACAGTTTCAAACAGCATCAGCAGCTTCAGTGTCACCCTCCCCGTCAGCAGTAGTGTGGGATGCAAATGAGGCGTGGCAGGAGGCATGGCAGGAGAGAGACATGTGTCAGAAGTAGTAGTAGAAAGAAAGAATGAAGAAAGGAGGAGGTTCACTAGCAAGCAGTTGGACACATATAGCAAACCCTAATTGGGCTGTACTCAATATGGAGTACCCCACTGCAGGCTAGACAATTATAACATTCTGACACACCCCCATAGCCAAAGTGGGGTGTAATCAGCACAACAAGCAAGCATAGTAATAGTTCACAATTATAAGCAAAGCTAGAGGTAATCACAGCGGGCAAGTGAGGAGGAGGAGAGACTGTGAGAGGAGAGAAGATGAGAGACGGCGGCTGAAGCTGCAGACACACGGGCAACAGGAGCTGCTGGCACAGTGGCTACCGGGACAGTGCGCCCCGGACTACTGGAGTAACTGGCTCACGGGCTACGACGAGCTACAGGAGCAACGGACCCTCGGGCGACAGGCGCAGCAGACTCTCTGGGCTACCAGGACAGTGCGCCCCGGACTACAGGTGCTGCGGACGACAAGACAGCAGCCTCCGCTCAACCTCCTCCAACTGTCCCACACACCCCCCACACACCCACTGCTTCACTCCTAACTCCACTTGCACGTCACCCCCCTAGTACCACTCCTTCGGCTCCCACACACCCACCCCCCTCAGCGGCAGCTGCAGCACTGGGAGACGGAGGAGGAGGAGGAGCAGGGGACGACGCACAGAAACTGCACCCCCATACCTCCCACCCCCAAACCCTAATTCAGGAGAACGGGCAGCAGCAGGGGTGGGGCGCCGTCAGAAGCACGGGGGACAGCGGGCAGCGCAGGGGCAGAGAAAACAGGGCGCCCACGGGCCTGGCGCAGCCCGTACGAACCGCGTGCGGGCGGCCCGAGGCGCGCCCTGGCCTGGCGCAGTCCGTACGGGCCGCGCGCAGGCTGTACGGGCCGCGCGCGGGCCCTACGCAGGTCGCGCAGGCCGCGACGGGCGACGGGGGGCGACGCGCGGGTCCCCGTCGCCCGTCGCAGCGCCTCCCGGGAGCGACGCACGGAGTGACGGGGCAGAAAGCCGCCGCGCGCCTCGGGGCGCACGGCGGGCAGAAAACCGTCGCGCGCCTCGGGGCGCACGGCGGGCAGAAAACCGCCGCGTGCCTCGGGGCGCTCGGCGGGCAGAAAACCGCCGCGCGCCTCGGGGCGCTCGGCGGGCAGAAAACCGCCGCACGCTCCGAGCGCGCGGCGGGATGAAAAATCCGTCGCACGCCACGGGGCGTGCAACACACAGAGTAGCAGTAGCAGCGGAAGCAGTGAGGTGGTGGGCCCACCCAGAGGATCGACCCAAGGGGATCGACCTGCTCTGATAGCATGTCAGAAGTAGTAGTAGAAAGAAAGAATGAAGAAAGGAGGAGGTTCACTAGCAAGCAGTTGGACACATATAGCAAACCCTAATTGGGCTGTACTCACTATGGAGTACCCCACTGCAGGCTAGACAATTATAACATTCTGACAACATGTACCCTGACGAACCCATCTTCACTGCTCTCCATCTCTCTGTTTTTGGTTTGTTGCCTTTCACATCAGTTTCTCATCGACGTCTCTCCTATGCATCTTCTCACCTGCCCTTACTCATCTCACCTCCCCTTGCTCCCTGTCAGCTTTTTGCTCTCCCCTTTATCCAGGCCTCGTTTTTCATGAAGCATACTGATATCTTCTCAGTCTCTCCTCACACGTCTCCCGCACATGTGCACCGGAGAGGTGCGCGGTGGACGTGGCAGCTATGTTTCACAGGGAGCTCCTGGTCAAGGTGAGAAGAAAGGGAACACTTGACTAAACAGTGAAGTTTTATTGAAGTGAGAAGCACTCCAGGCTTGTTCCAATAGCCTGAGCATGTGACAGGAAAAAGTCGTCGCCTGCCTCTTTGTACCAGATTCTTTCATTTTCAGCTCTCGATTTCTGTATTTGTATGTGCATCACCGTACCATCACTATACACACCTTCTCCCATTCCTTCTTCCTTCTTGTGCACCCCGTTCCTCCCACCAGAGGCTCATAGTTTCTTCACTCAACGCAGCTGTCAGCCTTGAAACCACCACCGCACACACCACTGCCACCACCGCTCCAAGCACCACCGCCCATAGCCCGCTCGAATTCCCGCTCAACATCCCTCCATTGTGCCTGCCGTGCCCCGACTCTTCACTTGCTATTGTCCCTGCTGCAGCTGCTGCACATGTGGCTGCTGCACTTGATGCTAGTGCTGTTGCGATGGAACAAGGAGGCAGGCTGGGAGCAGCAGGATCAGGCAGTGATGCAGCCACATCAAGACATGAGGATGGCAGCGGAACACCCGCAGCAAAAGAAGAAGTGGCAGAGAGCGAGGCAGCAGGGAGCTTGCAGGGAGAGGGGATGAGGATTGGTAGTGGGGATTCAGAGGCAGTGTTCGGTGGAGAGAGTGATGGGGGGCGTGTTCAGATAGGGGCTGCAATGCTGGAAGGGCAGAATGGATGGAAGGGACAGGCGTGGGCATCAAGGGGAGGCGAGTGGGCGGCTGTGAAGCAGCAGTTGGAGTAGTCGGGGTTGCTTGCCCGATCACCCACGCCACAACAGCTACAGGTTCATGAATCCTCAGCAATATTTTATCTCTTTTCCTGTGATCTGCGACCAGTGCAGGAGAGGCAACCTCTAAATTGTGTCAGCTGTTTTGTATTATTCTGCACACTATATTTTCATCTGTGCCTCTGGCAGGTGTGTCTGGTGGCGTGGCTGGTGGAGATGCACATTCACTCTCGGCACCTCTCCTCCATCTTCGCTGCTGTCGACGAGGAAGTGAAAAGTGCAGCAGCGTAAATTACTGCGGACTGGCTCGTTGAAATATAAGTCATGATGCTTAATTGGGTTACCGGTACAACCTACCACAGCTTCAGAGTCATCGCGCCCATCCTGCCTAAGAGGCATGGGGTCACCAACTACCAGCTATGACACCACCACTCCACAAAACGAATTCATACGTCTTGTCTGGATGGGTACACAATGAGTCGCATAGTCGAACCTGCCCGCTGGTATTGTTCGTTGTGTGCAGCCATTCAGAAGCAATGTGTAACAAATCAAGTATGGTTATGCTGGTACTTCTATGTCAAATGTTGTAGCCTGTAGTGAGGTTTGTCTTAGGGGGTACAAATGTTAGGGTTTGCTATATGTACCCCAACCCTCATCAATAACACAACACTTTCATTCTTGACATGGTATCACCTAGGTTAGGATCCTGTGGGATCCCGCACCTCTCGTCCTCGTTCGTTCCGCCCGAGCCTGTCTCGCTCTCTCGTACTAGTCGTACCCGTCTTGCCCGAGCCTAGCGCCGGCCCGATCCAGTCTCGCTCGTTCGTTAGCGCCGGCCCGATTCAGTCTCGCTCGTTCGTTAGCGCTCGCTCCGCCGACCCGCTTTCCGCGTAGCGTAGCGCCTTCCCCCCCTGCCCGTCGCGTCGCGCTCTCCCCGGCTTCCCGTCCCGTCACGCCCTCCCCCGCTGCTCGTCGCGACGTGCCCTCCCACACTGCCCGTCGCGTCGCGTCCTCCCCCCGCTTGCCCTAAACGCCCGCTCGTCGTCGCCGCAGCGCCCCGCGTTTCGTCGCCGCGGCGCCCCGCATTTCGTCGCCGCGCCTGCCCGTACCGCCCGCCGCCGCGCCTGCTCGTTAGGCCCGGCCGCGGGCCCGCTCGTCCCGTCGCCGCGCCTGCTAGTTAGGCCCGCCGCGGGCCCTCCCTTACAGCCGCCGCGCCTGCTCGTACCGCCCGCCGCCGCGCCTGCTCGTTAGGCACGCAGCGGGTCCTCCCTTAAAGCCACCGTGGGCCCTCCCTTATAGCCGCCGCGCCTGCCAGTTCAGCCAGCCGCCGCGCCTCCTCGTTAGGTCCGCTACGGACCCGCTCGTTAGGCCCTTCCTTCGCACCGCTGCGCCTACTCGTTCAGTCCGCCGCCAGACCGCCCCTAGCCCCGTTGCGCCCGCGTTTTGCGCCCGTCACACACTTGCCCTAACCGCCCACCGTCCCTACCAGTGCCACCCACCGCTGGACTTGTCGCTTCTACTTACACTATGGCGACCCCTAGGGTTCTTCGATTTGACGCTGATGGTAGACCGCTCGAGTTTCCGGTCTGGCTCCTACGCGCGCGTCGCCTTTTAGAGAGTCAGGTTCAGGCAAGCGAGTCCCTTTGGGCGCACGCTACTGGTGACCTTCCAGCGCCCGACGACCCTACGCCTTTAGGCACCGCCCCTGACGACGCAGCCAGGGACCGCTTCACCCGCCAGCGTGCTGACCTGACAGTGTGGAAGTCGCGTGACGCTGCGGCCTGCATCGCTCTTAGCAGCCTCCTCCCTGAGTCTGAGGAGGCCCACTTCACTCAGGTTCGCACTGCTAGTGAGTTCCTGACTGCGATTAAGGCCCGCTACGCTACTCCCACCACTGTCTCTCTTGGCCGACTCTTCCTACCGTTCCTGTTCCCTGACCTCGCCTCGTTTGAGCGCTATGCTGACTTGATTGCTCACCTCGCTCGCTTGATTCTAGCTACCGCGCTGCTTGCACTGAGGCACAGCTTGCACTGGTCCCTCCCCCCATGGCAATTACTATCTATTTCATCGCCACTAGCCTCCCTGACCGCCTTTCCTCAGTCCGTGACACGCTTCTTCTGAAGCACCCTAGTGAGCTCACTATCGAGGTCCTTGAGTCTGCGCTCAAGGACGTCGAGAGCAACCTCCGCTCCGTAGCCTCCGCCTCTGGTGCTGTGCCCCCTCCACTGTTCCACGCGTGCACTGTCCCTCAGCTGCCCACCTTTACAGCCTCTCTCGCCACTGCTGCTACTGACGTGACCGCAGCTGCTGTTACAACTTCTTCGCGGTCTCGAGGTAGAGGTGGCAAGAGGGGCGGTCAGGGTACAGGTGGCGGCGGCGGTGGAGGCGTTGGTGGCGGAGGTGGCGGGGGTGGCGTGCCGACTGGTGGCGGCGGGAGTGCAGGGCCTGGAGAGGCGTCTCGTGCAGCGGCCGGTGACTCCGCTACTACAGCTGGTGGAGGCGACGCCCGGGCTCGTCAGCCACCTTCTGGTCTGCCGGCCGCGGCGGGTGGAGCAGCGGCGTGGTACCTGGCCCAGCGGCAGCAGCAGCAGCAGCAGCAGCCCCTCCCCTTGTAGCAGCCCCCGCAGCAGCAGCGGCAGCAGCAGGTTTCGGGGCCAGGACAGCGTCAGCCTCAGCGAGGTGTTGTTCACCCTTCGTGCACCTATCAGCTTTTGACAGGTGCTCGCCGAGGCCAGCCTTGTGGCCGCACCCACCCTCCTGGTCAGTGCTTTGCTCAGCTCACTGACACAGTTCGCTTGGCCTTCGGCGTTGGCGGCCCTGCCCCTGACTGGTTTCCTCTTGTTCAGACGTACGGCTCCGCTCTTTGGGGCATGTCAGCTTATCAGTTGGTTGATCTCTTAGGAACTCCTCATGCGATGTATGCTGTTGTTAACTCTAGTGCTTCTGACTCTGTTTACTCGAGTGTTGTTAGCTTAGGTGCTAGTCTTGCTGAGTTGTCTGTTGCTAGTGTAGGCACTTGTGTAGACACCAGTCCAGGAGCTACTTCGGAGGACACTTCGCTGTCTTTCACTTTGGACTCTGGGGCTTCGCACTGCTTCTTCCGGGACCACACGACACTTACTCCGCTTCCGGAGCCGGTCTCTGTGGCTCTGGCTGATCCCACCTCGGGACCAGTCACTGCTCGCTACACTACTACTCTTCCGTGCCCTGCTGTTCCCTCTGGGTCTCTGACTGGCTTCCACGTCCCCTTGTTCTCGCGGAACTTGGTGGGCGTGAGGCCTCTTGTAAGTCAGCACGTGGGTGTGTGGATTGAGCCCTCTTGTGAGACGGCGGTTTGTGTTGACGGAGACACTTACACGCCTCTTGCCACCTTTACAGCTGAGCCGGGCTCTGGTCTCTACACATTTCACACTAGCTCTGGTGGGCAGCAGCGACTACTGCCCCCGGCCCCTGTTCCTTCCCCCAGTCTGGTCCCTGCGTCTCACCAGGTTGCTGCGTCCCCCCAGGTAGTTGTGTCTGGTCAGGTTCCCGTGTCTTGTCCAGTTGCTGCGTCGTGCTCCTGCCGGTCACTTGCCCACCCCACCGTTCTGTGGCACCACCGGATGGGGCACCCGTCTCTCCCTCGTCTGCGCACTATCTCTCGTCAGCGTCTTGTCTTAGGTCTCCCACGTGTCTTGCCGTCGCTGCCGCCTTCGCTTGCACCACCGTGCTGTCAAACATTATACATGTTTATATTCTGTAGGCTATAGTGGGTTTAGCCTTAGAGGGTACTGTCAGAATGTTATTGTTCTCTAGCCTGCAGTGGGGTACTCTATAGCGAGTACAACCCCCTAGGGTTTCCTATATGTATCCTGCTGCTTTCTAGTGAACATCCTCCTTTGCTTATTCTCTCTTGCCTAGCTAGGGCTTACCTAGCTATGGCTCTACTCATGCCTACGATTCTAACATGGTTTCAGAGCACTCACGCTCCTGGCCTGTGGGCCCTACTGCTGCTTCCGCTGCTACTCTGTGTGTTGCACGCCCCGTGGCGTGCGACGGATTTCTCTTCCCGCCGCGCGCTCGGAGCGTGCGGCGGTTTTCTGCCCGGCGTGCGCCCCGAGGCGCGCGGCGGTTTTCTGCCCGCCGTGCGCCCCGGGGCGTGCGGCGGTTCTCTGCCCGCCGTGCGCCCCGAGGCGCGCGGCGGCCTTCTGCCCCGTCGGTCCGCGCGTCGCCCCCGGGGGGCGCTTCGACGGGCGACGGGGACCAGCCCGTCGTCCCCCGTCGCCCGTCCTGGCCAGCGCGGGCTGCGCCAGCCCTGAGCGCGGCCCGTACGGGCTGCGCCCGGCCCGCGCGCGGCCCGTACGGGCTGCGCCAGGCCCGCGCGCGGCTCGGGCCGCCTGCGCGCGGTTCGTCGGGCTGTGCCAGGCCCGTGGGCGGCCCGTTCCTCTCTGTCCCTGAGCTGCTCGCTGTCCCCCGTGCTTCTGACGGTGCCCCACCCCTACTGCTGCCCGTTCTCCTGAATTAGGGTTTGGGGGTGAGGAGTGTGGGGGTGGCGGTTGTGTGTTACTCCCCTTGCTCCTCCTCCTCCCTGGTCTCCCACTGCTGCAGCTGCCGCTGAGGGGGGTGGGTGTGTGGGAGCCTAGGGTTTAGGGTTTAAGGGGGGTGCTATAGGAGTGGAGTTAGGGGTTCAGCAGGGGGTGTGTGTCGAGGGAGGAGGTTGTGTGGAGGTAGCGGTCGTGTCGCCTGCAGCGCCTGTAGTCCGTCGCCCTTGCTTCGGTAGCCAGTGAGCCTGTTGCACCAGTCGCCAGTGGGTCCGTTGTTCCTGCCGCTCGTCTATAGCCGCGGAGCCAGTTACTCCAGTAGTCCGTCGCCCTTGCTTCGGTAGCCACTGAGTCAGCCGCTCCTGTGCCCGTGCCTCTGCAGCTTCAGTTGTTGCCTCCCATCTTCTCTCCTTCCACAGTTCCTCCTCCTCCTCACTTGCCCTCTGCGACTGCCCCTAGCTTTACTTGTGCATGTGAACCTGCTCTAGGACTACT